GCGGGCCCAGGCTCCTCGGGGCGCTCTGCAGGCGGAGCCGGGGGCTCGGGCTGCGCTGGGGCGGGCCGAGGCTCCTGGGGGCGCTCTGCAGGCAGAGCCGGGGGCTCCGGCTGCGCTGGGGCGGGCCCAGGCTCCTCGGTGCGCTCTGCTGGCGGAGCCGAGGCCTCTGGCTGCGCTGCGGCGGGCCCAGGCTCATCGGGGCGCTCTGCTGGCGGAGCCGGGGCCTCCGGCTGCGCTGCGGCGGGCCCAGGCTCATCGGGGCGCTCTGCAGGCGGAGCCGGGGCCTCCGGCTGCGCTGGGGCGGGCCCAGGCTCCTCGGGGCGCTCCGCTGGCTGAGTCGGGGCCTCCGGCGGGGCTGGGGTGGGCCCAGCCTCCGCGGGGTGCTCCGCTGGCTGAGCTGGGGCCTCCGGCTGCGCTGGGGTGGGCCCATTCTCCTCGGGGCGCTCTGCAGGCGGAGCCGGGGCCTCCAGCAGGGCTGGGGTGGGCCCAGCCGCCTCGGGGCGCTCTACAGGCTGAGCCAGGGTTTCTGGCTGGGCTGGGGTGGGCCCAGCCTCCTCGGGGCGCTCTGCAGGCGGAGCCGGGGCCTCCGGCTGCGCTGGGGCGGGCCCAGGGTCCTCGGGGTGCTCTGCAGGCGGAGCCGGGACCTCCTGCTGCGCTGGGGCGGGCCCAGGCTCCTCGGGGCGCTCTGCAGGCGGAGCCGGGGCCTCCGGCTGCGCTGGGGCGGACCCAGGCTCCTCGGGGCGCTCTGCAGGGGGAGCCGGGGCCTCCGGCTGCGCTGGGGCGGGCCCAGGGTCCTTGGGGTGCTCTGCAGGCAGAGCTGGGGCCTCCGGCTCCGCTGGGGTGGGACTAGGCTCCTCGGGGCGCTCTGCAGGCGGAGCCGAGACCTCCTGCTGCGCTGGGGCGGGCCCAGGCTCCTCGGGGCGCTCTGCAGGGGGAGCCGGGGCCTCAGGCAGGGCTGGGGCTAGCCCAGCCGCCTCGGGGCACTCTACAGGCTGAGCCAGGGTTTCTGGCTGGGCTGGGGTGGGCCAAGTCTCCTCGGGGCGCTTTGCAGGCGGAGCCGGGGCCTCCGGCTGGGCTGCAGT